TTTCAATCAAGATCTTTCTCGATTGCTTGTAAATCCAATGGCCGACGAGCGTACCATGTCACCCTTCACTTGGATGAACTCGGCGCTTCGAAACAGGCAGCAAGTCGGAACGTTGGCCGATATGGTCCAAGTCCGCCAGTGGGAGCTGCATCAGGTACGCCACAACTACCAAAAGCATAGCGACTCTACTGACATATGGGAAGCTTGAAGAAAAGCCCCGCACGCATCCGACTGTCCGCTGGGTTGATAAACAAGAGGTCATCCGCGGTCGACAGAAGACAGTGAGGGAGAGTATAGTCAACAAGGACGGCTCAGGCGATGAGTTAGACATTGATGACGAGGACGATACCAAGGAGGTCGATCTCATTGCTGCGCGGATGGAAGATCTCACGCTTGACGAAGATATCGATCCAAATTCCCCATTCCTTACTGACTTGCTGTCTGACCGCCCTCAGACAGACTTACCAGCTCGGCAGACTGCCTCTATAGTGTTCTCAACCGAGCGGACAGCTTCGGATGCTTCTGTAGTGGTCAATTGGAACTGGTAGACATATATTTGGAGTTTATAACATAGTTTTATGTTATTAACATGTGAAAAACACGTTTCTCACTTGTTTATAACGCATATTTTACGTGATGTGAGAAACTGTTAATAACGGTAGTGAAAAACAGCTCCGAGAGGGCCCTTGTTTTAAACACACGTGAGAATCTCGGGCGAGTTTCTCACCGCACACTACTGTGGATGTGTGGCATAAACCGCGAATATGCTATGCAACTTCAAGGTAGAGGAATCCGAGCCAGAAGACTGTCGTCAATCCCTCCTTCACCGTGCTCGTCGTCGCTGTCCTCAGCCGTTTGCTGGCTCGTGCTATGTTGCATCTGGCTGGAACTCGGTACGCATGTCCCAGCCGTGTAACTTGCATGACTGGGTCCCGGCATAATGGTTACTCGGGCCGGCTGTTGCCTTGCTTGACGAGGCAATCAGCCGTGCAGGCGCATACTTTGCAGCAGCAGCTTCGCTTTCCTGCTTGAATTTCTCCACGAGGTTCTTGGCGGCGTAGTCGTCATCAATTATTCTGCTGCTGCTGACAGAACGGGGCATTCACCTCAACATCTTTGATACTGTAGAATCTCATCTCTGTACCAGGATGATGGGGATTCGGCTCAGTCTTGACCGGAGTTAACGTATCCATTTGTCCAGGGGTCAACTGAAACGAAACAGTGAGTCGTCGTACGAGACAAAGTGAAAGCGAGATTACGTACCTCGTACTGTTCCATAGCTCTTGTCCGAACAATCCCAACCTCCAGGCTCTTCTCATTTAACCCGTTTGGCGAAGTATTGCACCTCCCAGAGCGCGAACTTCTTCATGGGATGTCGCCCTCCGTGCGGGTTCGCGACGACTTCGATAGGACTAATGGCATCTAAATCTGCGGGCTTTAGCTGGATATTTACAAGTGAGCAGCTAAGACGGCGCGCCAAGAGCGTAATATGAGTACGACAAACCCCAAACCATTGGCGAGCTTGTGTCTGGGTAACCCAATCGACCTGACATCTGTAGGGGTTCACTCGTCCGGAGTACGCGCTTCGTCGCCTCCAGGGGCCTGGCATCTTGGAAAGCGCATTAAATACGTTTATGCAGAGCTGTGGTGCAAGGCTCTATCCTCCAGGTCGTGTGAGGAATAGAGACGGCTGAAAGCGCGAGTTGAAAGTGAGCGGCGGTTGCGGATGTTGCGGAGTGAGGCGTGGGAAGGCCATTCTAAATGTGTTTCTGACGCGCGCCCTCCCACGCCGCCTCCAAGCCTCCGACATCGTCGACGTTCATTATCGCACCTCGTCGAGACCCCCAAGTTTGTAGCCGTGCGCCGTCGCTGTAAAATGAACAGGTACGCCTGCTTTTCAGTAAACCTGATCAATTGTGCAGACTTTCCATGCAGTCTCCTTGTTTTCCAGCTTCCTAGACAAGCAAGCAGAATGCCGTCCTGTTTAAATGTCAACCAGAGGCTGACCGTCAGCTTTCGGCATAAAACCTGCTGACCCTTATCCCCTCGTTCTTTCTCATCTCAAACATGTATCACATACTGGACAAGTCCCCCATATCCACTTTTGCTCTCGCAGAGTGGGCCGGTCGCCTGGCAGTGCCAAAACTGCGCACGCCAGGCGAGCTCTTTCTTATCCCGTCTCGCCTCCTTTCGGATGCGAGCACTCTAGTTCCCTTTACCGTCGGCCTTGCCAAGATTGGTCGACCTTTCCGGTATCCCCCTGTTGAGGCTGTTGCTCCCTACTTCGGATACATCTGTCTACCAGCCGACCCGACGACCAACACGGCGCTCTGTGTTGATGGCGACTCTTATCGCAGAGTTCGACTAGCCTCGCTACTTCTGGACCTCTTCGATTGGGTATGGCTAATCCGGCTCGTTGTTGTCTTGTTTCTGTGGCTGGCGATGGTGAGTGCTGAACGCCCATGAATGACGCGACGCTGATAACAGTTGTATGGCAGCCCATCGTTTGTAGTCTGGCAACCGACTTCTTCAAAACCTTCACCGGTATCGCTCGTCTGCAGGCAACTGTCGCAGAGTACGATATTATCCTCGCACAACTCGAAGACGACCGAGCTGGCCATGTGACCTCGTTAACAGAGCTCACTCTCGCTCTCGATTCAAGTCATGAGCACCTGGTCGAGATCGAGCGCCTAAAGCAAGCGAGCACCAACAACGCAGTCAAACTTCAGACCGCTGAGGTCGGCTACTTATGCATACATCAGGCCTGCTTGAGCTAATCCCACATTTACTGCAGGACGAGCTACAGGCATCGAAGCGTCAGGTTAAGGTCCTGCGTGCCGATTTGAAGAATATTGAGGAGCTCAGCGCACTGGGTCTTTCACGGATCGCGGAGGCCACGAACACACTCAACGAAGGAACCGATCTCGCAACTGAGCTCGAAGCAGCTCTTCGTCTAGAATTAGCCGAGCTCGATGAGCAAACAGTCAGCCTCGAGGCGCAACTCCCAGACCTCCTTGCAGCTCAAGCACTGCTGCTCGAGGAGCACTCTATGTACCACACCGGCCACCTCTTGCAGGAAGAAATCAAGGTGGCCGAGGCCCTCGTTTCCCAAGATGTGCTAGCCGTCCTCCATGACGAGATGTCTGCCGAGTCTTCTACCTACGATGCTACCTCAGCCGAGCTACAGAAGACGCTCGCATCCCTCGCATTCCAGTCCGCAGCCGTCAATTCTGCGGAACGCCGCGCCCAAGACATACATATTACCGACATCGCCACCGCCAGAGCTCGATTGGAGTCTCTCGAGGCTGAACTCGCCTCCGTCAACGGAGAGCTCGCTGTGGCTCATGCAGAGCACGGATCGCTCTTTGGCGAGTGCGGCCGTCTTCTCCAGGGCACATCCACAGAAAAGGAATCGACAGACAAGGCCGTCGAGGACGCCGCGATTGCTCAAGCCGCACTGCTTATGGCGACATCCATCCTCCGCAGCTCAGACCTGGATTTCACCGTGGAGCTCGAGAAGGACATCGCGAACCTGACCGCCGCTCTCGCGCAGGCTGCGAGCGAACACGAGGGCGTTCAGGAAAGCCTCGCCTCCAGCGTCGCCGAACATCACATGCACATGCAAGTCTGTGCGGAGCACACCACCGAAGCGACTGCCCAGCTCACGTTCCTTAGCGACTGGATTGCCAAGGAGCAAGCCGCCTTCGACTCCCTGGACAAGGAGTCGGTTGCACTCGCCACCGAGATCGCGGAGAATCGGGACGAGTACGAGGCGGAACAGCGGGGCCTGGAATGGCGCCTGAAGATGGTGAGCGAGGGGTACGCCGAGGAGGAGACAACGCTCGAGGCGGCGCGAAGCACAGTCCCGGGGGAGCTGAAGAAGGTGCGCTGGGCGCATGACGAGGAACTCCGCCGACACTGGGTCGCCGTGGCCGGGTACCAGCTGGGCCAGCAGATGGACGACGCGTTCGCGGACGAGCTCTTGGCGAGCCTTGCCGAGTCGAAGGCGCGCTTGGCACCCCTAGAGGCCGAGCACGCGAGGATGGTTGCTTTCGAGCAGGCGCAACGCAAGCTCGAGACGGTGGTCGCAGACGCATCCGAGGTCGCGGAAGAACTCAAGACGCGGGACACGGAGATTGCGCAGGTCTCCGCCGAGATCATCGACGCCAGACGCAGCGTAGCCTCTCTTGAAGTCGAGGTAGTCGGGCTACGGAGCGCATACAATCGGAAGCTGGACGGATTCGCGGAGCAGAATGGTACGATGGAGAAGCGAATCGCGTTTGAGGGAACCCTTCGGCGTGCAGAGTGTGCAGAGGTGAAGGACCGGGTGAGGCTGCTAGAGGCTGCGATTCTACTGTGTTCACCGGAGGACGGAGATGGAGGATGAGCAGTTGTTTTAGTAGTATGAAAATTTGCGATAGCGGCATGACACCGAAAATTTATTTGAATTCGCTGTGACTACATCTTGCTCGTCCTCGGTCAACTACCTGTCAATCATCAAAGGCGCAGAGATGGCAAAGCGTGTTTGGTGGACCGTGTGCTCTCACGGCACTTTCAACTAATTGTAAGGATCGCAGCTGCGGTGTTCACGTTCTAAAAAAAAAACAGAAAGAAGAAACTACGCCCGACTTTCGTCATGCATTAAAGTGGTAAATACACAGAAGACCTTGGGGATGCTCATGCCCCGATATGCACATAATTGACCCATCTCTCCAGATCGACCTTGCAGCGCCGCATCTCTTTCGTAGCTGAGCACAACGCTCGCGCAGCCTTCTTGAATCCAAATTCTGATGCGTTAGATATGTCTTCGCCACCTCCTTCTTTGAATAACGCGTGGTAAAAATATTTGGCGAACGTCGGTCCATCTTCGTCCTGCATTTGCCACATCGTCCCGACAACGCTTCGGAAGCCAGAGAACTGCATCGCCGCCGCCAGGTGAAGTACCTCTTCCACCGCGCTGCCTGGCGTTTGCTCAGCGGTGTGGCACGCTGACAAGACAGCTAGTTCAGCGTTATGCAGGCCAGCTTTGATTATGTCGAGCAGAGTAAGCCGTTCGTCTCCAGAAAGCATGAACGCTGAGTTGAAGGGCTCGCCTTCCTTGAGTGTCCCATGGCAGGCTAAATGAACCCATGACCGTTCCGCAAGTCCAGCAATCACTGCATTACGATCGCATCCACCCTCGAAGGCGAGCGTCAGCTTGTCCTTCGAAAAACAGGCGCGAAGCACGTCCACTTCCGCATCCACTGCTTCCAGCGACTTGTCGAGCACAGCGACACCAAGAAGACCTTCGCGCTCTACCGGTCCGCTGAAGGCAGTCTTCGTCCGGGCTTCAATGAGCGCGGCAAGAGTCGGAGTATAGGAAGAAATATACAGGTCCGGGAGATACACCTTGGCTTTGGACGACTTCAACTCCGGCAGCGTGAGCGGGCCTGCGGCATGGAGCGGCAATGCCGACAGGACAGATGTCGGGCACCACCAGATCCGAGACCCTTCCTTCACTCCGAGCTCTTTCAGCTTCTCCACGACGGGACCCACGAGGAGCTCGCCAAGAACTTTGAGCGTGAGGCGCAGAACTCGATCGTACTCCTTCTGGGCAGAGTGCTTTAAGACCTGGCGTGCATCGAGCAATTTGTTTGACAGTTCGATGACCCGATTATAGAATTCACTGGATAGCTTAACACAGCTGAGGTTGTCGCCGGGACCGAGGATGAGAGCATCCGACCGAAATACGCTATTATTGACGACGACAACCGGACCATCTCCTGAGACCGATTTAAGCTTGTCATATGACGGTGATCTCAGAAAGTCGGGGAAGTGTATACGGATCTGTTCAATGATCTCGTCCAAATCGGCTGATAGGCGGCGTCTCATCTCCAGCATAGTCCCATATGGATCGTTGGCTTCCTCCGTAGCCAAGCTGGATAAGAAGGGATTCGCGGAAGTACCGATTGCCTCTAGCGCACGACTCTTCTCCAGGAAAGCATTTCGAAGGGGCCTCAATTTCTCGTCGGCAGCCAGCTTGTCGAGGGGAGTGCGGAGACGGCGGATTTGAGACCAGAGCAGGGCTCTGCCTTGCTCTATGATCTCTACAGCGAGTTTGAGATCACCTTGTCCAATTGCGTAGGCCGCGAGATCCAAAGGCAGAAATCCATTGAGAACTTTTCGAGCTACGTTGTGCTGCATCTCCAGCGTCGGAGCAGTCGCAAGCATTCGCTCCGACAGCTCGACATACAAGCGATAGGCCTCTAGCGTTGAAGGATGGTTGCACACATGGCCTAGAAATGCCCAAAATGTCACGAATAGAAGCTTCATTCGATGGCGAGGTTCGGACAGCGCGCTTCAAGTCATAGGAGTCAGTACAAATTTCCAGCTGTAGTGAGGTGACATACCTTTCTTTTGCGTAAGAGACAGCATTCAAAATATCTTCTTCCTTTCCTGTGCGGCCATATCTCTGAAACAAAAAGCATGCGACTTGATTGAGCAGCATTTGACGCTCCGGGTGATTCTGCCCCGGGGGGTGGCCAGACAGTCTTTGACATCCCTGGTCGATGCGCTTATCGAGATCCTCCGAGTCTAACGTCCAGGACACGTTGTATTGCATGCCAGGAACCGCGAATCTTAAGTCGGATACAGCCAAATGCGCAGGGTCCTCAGAAGGGAATAGAGCCTCTAGCTCCTTGAAATAACTGGTGGCTCTGCGCAGATCCTCGGGGTCTCCAGCCACATCATATCGACGCTGGCAGCACAAGGCAAACCTGTGAATGATGTGCGGACGCAGACCATGAGGCTCAGGTGAGCAGAGACGTAGTGCTTCCTGCCCGTACTGCATGCACTTTTCGAAATCTTCTGGATCCTTGGTCTGCTGAAAGCGAGCACCCTGATGTTCTGTCAGAGCGGCCAATAATTGGGCACGGTGCTCGAGCGTCTGATCTAAGGATAATGCCTCACGAAGGAGAGAGATGCCACTAGCCAAGTCTTCCAGCCACAGGCCCCCGGTCTCGTTGAATCTCCCGGCCAAAGACGCTGATAGAAAGGCCAAAATGGCCAAGCGGCGTGGGTGTTCTTTTGGACAGAGCGACAGGGCATCATAGCCATACTGGACTGCGTCTCTGAGATCGTCGAACTGATGGGTCTGATCGAAGCGAGCCTTCAAAGCGTTCGCCAGAGTTAAGATCGAGTTGAGACGCAGGGGAAGTTTGACCGAATCGGGTGCCGTCCGGAGACTTTCGCGCCAAATCATGACTTCGCTGTTCAAGTCTTCCACTCTACCATCGGCCCTGAAGCGTCGTCGGAGTGCAGATGCCAGCGTGTCCACGAAATCCATGCGAGCGGGATGGCTCGGGGGACAAAGAGCAAGAGCTTCGTGGCTGTACTCGATGCTCTTTTCGAGGTCCTCGCGCCGACCTTTCATGCGGTGCCGCTCCTTGAGAGCATATGCTAGCACTGATATCACTGTTGAATAGAACGCAGGCACGGGCTCAGGCGTTTCGAAAGACCGCGACGCAAGGGCTTTCTGTGAATGACCAATCAACGTCTCTAGGTCCTCAAAGCTCCCGGTCGTTAAGAAGCGCGCACGCGATGAGAAGGCTATAGCACCCAGCAATGCGTGGTGCTTAGAGTGAGTCGGAGGGTGGGATAAGAGGGCTTGCTGATAGTGATCAATGGCTTCTTCCACATCGCCGATCTGCTTTGTATGGCTGAATCGACTGTCCAAAGCGGCCGCCAGGTCGACCATAAGCAAAGGATGGGCAGGGGATTCGGATGGACAGACGGTCAATGCATCCCGAAAGTAGTCGATAGATTTGCTCAGATGCTCCGGATCTTCTGTGAGTGCGAAATGATTGTTGGAAAACTTCCCAAGCTGGCGCAGTATTTTGAGCCGACGGGGGTCACGGTGTTCAGGCGAACAGAGTGCCAAAGCGACATGGGCGGACTCAACACATTGTGTGAGATCATTTGATTCTCGATCTCTGCCGAACCGGGTATCCAAGGCATTTGCCAAGCCAAGGAGTAATTCGGGACGAATGATAGCTCCTGGTGGGCATAAAGAAAGTGCCTCTTGGGCGAAGGTGAAAACCTTCTCTAAATCCTCTGGATTTTCGCTTTCTTCGTATCGAACAAGAGTGACAGAAGCGAGGACGCCCAGCAAGGAAGGATAGTGAAGGTTTTTGGAAGAGCTATTATCTAGCACCCTCTGCTCCAGCACGGCAAGGAGGTGGAGCTGATCCCGCAAGCCAGCTGGAAGGAGAGTGTCGAGGAAGAATGTCATGAACCTGATAAATAATTTGAGATGAGCCGGGGCGCCTGTCCTGCAGCATGCGAGGCCCTGTTGGAAATACTCCGTCGACAAGACCAGGTCTACTCCCTCTTTAGCACAATTAAAGCGCCGACCAAGCGAGGACGCCATGCTAGTAAATATCACAGCACGACTTGGTGCGCTGGGACCACAAGCGGAAAGCGCTTCCATCCCGAGTGCTACGCTTTCCTCCAGGTCCTCGGGAACTCCGTATGACATGAAGCGATAGTACAGAACATCTGCTAGCCTGCTGAGAGCCACCACGCGCATAGTGGACCGAAGTGGCAGTAGCTCGATGGCGTCACGGAGAGGAGTGACGCTGCCCTCTATGTCTTCCCGTTTGCCAGCGAACAAGAAGCGGGTCCACTTCGCGACAGCGAAATTGACAAGCAGACTTGGACGGTTAGGACACCTTGGCGGGCAGAGAGTGAGGGCGTCGTTGCTATATTTAATGCTCGCCTTCAGGATATGTTCCGAATTTTCGCTGTGTTCCGTAAATAGGGCGATAAATGCGGGGACGAGGGTGTCAAAAACCACCAGGCGAACGGGCGTTGTTCGGGAGCAAAGCGGTAGGGCTTCGTTGGACAGCACAACCGACTGCTCCAGGTCTTCCGGCTGTCCGGTGCGCTCGTAACGAGCCAGGAGCCCGGCAGCCGCAGTCGCCAGAGTTCGAGGACGGTCAGGATGTCCCGCTGGGCAGAGGGGGATGGCTTCTTGGGCGTGTCCGATCGCTGCTTCCAAATCAGCAGATTCGCCTCGCTGCTCATATCGGGAAAGCAGCGATCGCGAGAGGATGACCAGCGAGGCGGGCCGGGCAGGCGACTCCGGTGAACAGCACGAGGCGGCTTCTCCGGCATACTCGATGCACTGATCCAGTTCGGAGGAGAGGCCCGTTTGCTTGAAGCTGCTGAGCATTACTTCAGCGACGGCGGTTAGAAAGGCTGGCTGATCGTAGCATGTAGGATCAAAAAGTGAGAGAGCGAGACAACCGTTCTCGATAGCATCGGCCAGATCCTGAAATTCGCCGGCGCAGCAGAAATGAGTGTGCAGTGTTTTTGCGAGAGACAACACATGAAGATAGCGATCGGCATGGCCGGGGGGACGAAGGAGGAGCGCTCTATGATGGAGGGATAAAGCCTCCTTCACGTCCGTCAGCCGGCCACTGAGCTCGAATCGACAGAGGAGCAACTCGGCGAGGGTGTACAACAATGCAGCGTCGCGCCCATCCATAGCAGGTAAAACGGATATGGCTTCGCGTGTGGCAGTAATGGCGTTCTCGATGTCTTTGAGATTGTGTGTGCGGGCGAGGCGTGCGAATAGGGCAGGTGTGACTGTAGTCAGGAACGTCGTTTGATTTACACTAGTAGTGGATTCATGGGAAAGAATTTCGAGCGGAGTGGTGACAGTCTCATGATCCTCGCTAGGAGGTGGGACATCGACAGTTGGACCGCGGAAAGCTCCTGCGCCAGACCAGCGTGGCAGGAGTCGGCGGATGAGTAAGAGGTTCTGGAGACTCTCCCACCACATGATCGCTTCTTGCAAGAGGTAGATCGCACCTGATTAGTACGCCGGATTAGTGCTGAGCACTTCAGCAGCCACGGCACCAACCTAAATCTTCCAAAGCTTACGCTTCAAGCCAACTGCGAAGGCAAGGAATGAGCCCTCAGACACTCATGGCCTGTTGTATGCTGACGCACTGGATATATTCTCAGACTGACGCTAGATCTGGATCCGAAAGCCAGTGCTGCATGGTTGTGGATATAAGAAGCGGTCACGAAAGGAGGTGGAAGAGACTTACAAGTGAAATGATGCGACCTCAGAAACGATAAAGTGGGTTTGTAATGACTTGAGTCTTGTCTGAGTGGTCAGCAAAGGCGTTCCGCCTGTCAGAGATATTCCAGGCGTAAGGAGGGATGCGCCAACTACTGGAAGAAGGGGAGGGGAAGAACTTCGTTGCTGGTGATGAGTGTCAAGCACTATGCAAAGGAGCAGGCGGGGAAGAGGGTGGGAATGCCGGAGCAGTTACGCACTACCGAGCCTTCCTCGTGTAGAACCGCCTCACACAGTCCCGCGAGTCCTCTCCACTAATGGCAAATGGCCTCGTGCATATCCCAGATATTAAACTTTATACCACAGTGATAGGGAAGCGCAGCTGCAGTCGATGACTTAGTCGGAACGTGCAAGAACCATGCGTGCAAAGTCATTTTGCGCGACGCTGTGCATTCATCAAGGAGATCTGAGATATGTGGATCACAGAAGTACCGTAAGGAGCTGCGAAGACAGCAAGCCTCATGAACCGAAGGAGTAAGGTGAAGATGAAGGACTTGTACCGACGGCTCTGCAGACTGATTCTGCACCTGCACCAGACGGTACCACAGTGCGTGAATCCTCTTATCGCGCGCCTGTATAGATGCCGATATGAATAGTTGGTATAATTGGCCTATAATATCGAACAAAGATACAATATTCGTGTGGTGTCCTGGAGTCGTCGTTAGTCGAGCCATATCTGGAGAGGATCTTATTCACGTGCCACATAAACTACCTTAACAGCAGCTCGTCGAATGCCTGCCTGATATTTTTGATGTTCGCAAAGACACTCCACGTGTTATAAAGGGCTGGTTGTCTAGACCGCATTCAGTCAGCTCAGCACATCCAGGTAGAGGTCAAACCCAAACCTTCAAAGTTGCCACCAAGAATGCCGAACTTGATTTCATGTCGAAATGTGCAGAGTCGATGCTGGGGAGATGCACAGGATCTCGTGTGCAAAATTGCATTCAACTTTCTTTATACAAGTGCATATCTTCATAATATGTCTTCAGCATACCGTTCCCGCGCTGAGAACGTAAGAGTGAGTGCGGCCAAGGAGGTAAGACAAAGGGGAGCAAAGAAGGCCGCTCCCGCCATCAGGCACTTCCATCTCTTCAAACAGCATATAGTCGAGGCCCTCTCCCTGAATCCGAGAGCGTTGATTGAAGGCTTGGAGTCCCACTATTGCCGTTCCTCGACGGTAGTCGCCGCGGGTGTTTTGGTCGTGGGCACCGGCGGAACCGGCACTGCCGCCGCACTCATGACAACGGGTTCAGGTTTCTTCGCTACGACGGCACAGGGACGTAGAGGCGTATATAAGTCTGACGTCCCCGAGGTCGGGAGGTAAAAGGGGCGTGGGCATGAGGAGGTATAAGCGTAGGACTAGGGGAGAGGGTATAAACACGAGAAACATTCGCTTGAACTTGGATACGAGATTGGCGTCAGATTCGACTTCATCTGTCTCGCTTTCGGGCTTGGTTTCATGAAACACCCCCTTCAATGCCCAGATGAACAACCTTGAAGCACAAATTGCGACGACACAGAAGGGTGCACTTGAAACGAGTAAATATCGCCATTAGGACACAGCTACGCACATTATTCTGACCCAACTTTGCGAAAACCTCCACAGCCTTGCGCTTGGCGGACCGTACGCCCTCCGACACTCCACGACAAAACTCCTCTCACAGCTTCCTTCTCCACGAACTCTCCTTCTGGAGCATAACCCGAGTTTCTTCTCTGTACGACGACATTCAGCGGCGCCGGTTACGCTTTAGGATCCTTCTGTAGCTCGAACGCGTTTGGAAAATCGAAGGGGACTTGGGCGCTTGGGACGACGAGAAGGGAACAAGCATGTTGAATGAGAGTGGATATGATATCGCGACGAGGGAGCGGGGCAGTGTTGGGCAGTCAATGACCGAGTCATCCCAGTCACGGTCATTGACTGACAGCTGGTCATTGATGGGTCAATGACCGAGTCACGGTCAATGACCGGGCGGTTTCATGGGTCCCGCGTGAGCAAGACGCCGGTATTGAGCGCTCGACGAAGCGGGAACCACGCTCGCACGAAGCAGTAGCAGCTATCGATAACGCACGGCTGTAGGGTACTATTAGAATATCGAGCCCTGCTGTGTACACACATACTACTAGTTTTTGATCAAAACCATTCCCCCCGCCGCGCCTTTGGCCTTTCACCTGGGCAATCTCCATCTGGTCATGCACCCTAGTAACCCAGCCGGAGCAGTACCAAATCCCCCAAGCCGTCCGGGGCTCATACTCGCCGGATGGTGGCGAGGATTCTTCATAGACCA